ATATATATATATTATATATTCATAGTATGTAATATTTACCCATATTATGACCACACACCCTGCTTAAACTTTAAAAATTACTTGAAATTCATAATAGATTTCAGTCAAAAAATTATATTTTAATTTATATGATAATAATTAAAAACGGTTCCTTTCTCTCTCTATTTCTCTAATAATAATAAAAAAAATGCCGGATAAACAACAGTCACCCTGCGTGCAGTATAGAACATATACTAAATATCAAGCCGTACAAATATATAAAGCAGAGTGGAAAATTACCACACTTCCTGATGCGGGGAACTTTGGAGGCTGTATATTTTAACGACTATTGTTTTATGTGTTTAACAAACTACCAACAACAAATTATTACTCATACAATGTAAATATTTTTTTTTATCTATTGCATATTTGTATCATACATTTGTAGGTGAAATAAATTAAAATACCAAGTACATATATTCATCAGTGAATTATTACTATTTCAAATTAGTACTATTTCAAATGGTGTGAAAGTGGAAATTCTTATGTATAAATACGTATAATATAAATGATATCATTAAGTTAATATAATATATTACAAGTGCGAGGTGTTATACTTTTATATACATTATTCATAATTCTTATCAGTTTAACACTGTTCACTATATGTCCCGATAAAAAAAGGTGGCATTTCCTAAGCGCTCCGATCACTAAATACAGCCCTGTGAAATATATATAGTTTCAGTATTTCTATAATATTATATCTTTTAGTCAAAACAAGTGTACAATACTGATCTATACGTATTATACATTTATATACCCATACACTATACGAATATGCAAGAAAAACGACTTCAGTGCAAATTAAATGAATTGTTTTAAATTTTTCGCAATCCCACTAAATCGACGACTTCGCGGTGGCCGCCCTCAATATTAATGATAATGATTATTAGGCATTAGCGGATTGCGCGAAGGCGGCGACGCAGTTGTAACTATAATATTGTTTGGTAACAAAATAATAATAAAACATTTTAATGGGTTTTTACTGCTTTCTGGTTTTCTCGCAATCTCTGTCGCAGGAAAACATCTCGCGGCGGGAAATATGTTCATGACGCGTACACACAGACCTAAATATACAAAATTATGTACTGTGAGCGCGACCGATCGATTCGTCTCGGGAAAACACGACCGGATGATAGGTAGGTTAGGTTAGGTACATGAAAAGCGTTTGGTTGGCGACGTTCACACCCAGATGGTCCCGAGAGAGACYGAAACGGGAGCGGGGCACGACGGCATCGGGCTGAAGCAATTTAATATATAATATTTTAATATCTTTTTGTTTTATTTGCTTATTAAAATACACGCCCGAAGTCTTAAATATAGTAACTATTTTAGTATTTTATGTATATTATATATACATATTCAGTGGGGGTACCTCTGTGGAAGTAAATACGCTTCCTATTTCACGATCTGCGCCGAGAATAAGTATATAAAATGTTTATATCGAATACGACGTAAAAAACAAAACGGTACAAGCAATAGAGAGTAAAACGCGAAGAAAACGGGCACGTCCGGTGGTAGGGAGTGGTGTTTTTTTATTTTTTTTACATATAAGTTAATTCGGATCAGCGCAGCAGTGGCGGTCGCGTTCCATTAGTTCCAATTAAGTCGTTTCGCGCCCCTGCGGAGGTGCAGTACGCAGCGTGTTTGTCGCGGCAACAGCACCAGTTCGGCAGTCTACAGCAGTCGGCACACGAACATGGCCAACGAGAAATCACTTAAAGAGTCCCTGCTGGCGGCTTCGCCATTCCTGATCAAAGTCGTGGAAATCGTGAGTATAATTTCAATGTATACGTATATATATATATAGGTATTATATACGAGTATGCGCATATAAATCGCTGGCAGCCTGTCTGCACTAGCCGTATATTATCCCCATATAAATTATTTTATATATAATAATATAATACCAGATAGTTTAGAGTTCGTCGAAGAAATTTAAGCCATTTGCTYTAAGATGACCACTGAATGACGTTAATGCAAAAATAAAATAAAATACGTATTACTCGTAAATGTTTTACCGAAAACATCTGATACTTACGACATTTATGTAATTTCGATTTGGAGCAAAAGAATCAAAATACTATAGAAGATATTACATGTACATACTAATTGTATTACTTACAATTCATGAGACGAAAAGTTTTAAATAGGTCATGCGAAATCTATACAAATATTAAGCTGCGAGTCCATAATATGGTCTTTTAAATCCAGGTGGGCCTCGAATTAGTGAGCTATACCTATATGCATATTATAGAAATACGTATACCCCGGAGAATCTTTATATTTTATACTGTAGAATTCGAATAAATCATATTTGCTGTGATGAAAATATGTGGACAATGCAGCGGAAAAGAAAAAAACGGCGCTTCAATCGAAATCTATTTGCCCGGTACTCRCGAGTACCTTTAGGTTTTAATACTAAACAATTGGTCGTATAATTCACGATTTCTTTCGTGTTTATTGTTTCAGATATTGGGCTTAACGAGCATCTGTTTAATCATCAGCCCATACTCGTCGAGGCTGCACACCAGCACTGGTAGAGCGGGTTTCGTGTACTCGGCCCTTTCCGGCGCCGTCCTGGTCGATCTACTCATTGTGGTCAGCCATTTCTTACAACAAAAGATACCGAAAAAGCCGGTAAGTCCTAACATCCTCACCACTCATCACATTGGATATCGTGCATATACGGATGCAGCAAACATATTTTTGGGATATTTTATTTTCATGAATTTTATCTACGCATCATAATTATTATTATATGTACCTAATAGATACACGTATGAGGACTTAAACATYTAATACTTGAGAGTGAATAYGCTAAAAAGACGAGAACGCCCTCAATTCAATTTATTAAAGTCTAGACAAATCGTAGATTACAACTAGGACCAAACGCCACCTTTAGCTATACTACAATCCATATGTGCAACTTAGAGGGCTCTTTTGAGGGGAGGGTGCTCTCGTATTATTGTTATTAATCTGTGAAAAATTACCCCCTCTACCACTCACCAAAAAAAA